AACTAAATACCGGTACAAGAGGCTATAAGAAAAAATAAGTCAAATTCTACCACAATATGATCCAGTTTCATAAACATCAGCACAGAATAGAAAAATAAGGAGTCCAACCTCTGCGAATTTTTGAGACCTATTCCCTCTTCAACAATCCTCATCTTAATCTTGACTAAAAATCAACAAAGAAATTTTCCACACAAGATATCGCAGAAAACATTCCAAATGTCATTCACTGAGATAGCCTTTAAAATGCCAATCATACTTCAAAAACTGAAAAAAGCGCAAACAACCAAAAAGGTGACGCTAATTCATTTGATAAAACTTCTCTCATTGTTCTACCACAAGTGCGAGATGGGTGTGGTGCCGATCAGCAGGAATCTTGTATCAGCTGATTTATACTCCTACTTTTTTTTATAATGCGCCCTTCTTGTCAGAAGTTTCAACGAGCATTTAGTAACTCATAAGTCCTATGATAGATCGATTTTCGGCAGGATAGAAGGAGGCAAAGGTAAACAGAACCCACTCCACATCCGTTTATACCAAGGTGGTCGAAATGCGTCTTTCACATCATTTGCCGTTCTCCTGATTCCATTCTTTGCAGCATCTAAAAAAGTAAAAACTATGACATTGACTAATCAACAGAATTGTGGTTACAGCTACCTACTGCCTTCTCCGCATTTCGTTTTTCCCCACGGAAAAACCGTTTCACGCGTCGTTCGTCTGTAATGAGTGCAAGTAGTGGCACACAGAAAAAGAGAAAAGAATATAATGGCAAAAGGTCATTCTAGTAGGTATAAAACGAAAGTATAATGGGAAAAAGGGCCTACCAATCGACATTGCTGAATGGCTTCTACCGACGGGGGCAGTGAACTGGTCGTAAGGTCGACCACCCGACCGGTAATCAGCCGAATAATGTTCTGCGCTACGCGGAAGACTATCATAGACCGCAACCCGGTAACATCTATATTGGAAGGCGTCTACAGTCACAGGTTGCATTCGATTCAAATGAAGACGTACGTGTCAGCAACAATTCAAAACAGCACCACCGCTAAACTGAATGCGTCAGTGTGGACATATGACTTTGAGTGATTCATTTATGCACGTTTAGGTTCCAGTTCTCTTGTAATGAAAGAATTGCCAACACGTTTTGCTTGCTGAAAGCGAGTTAAGAAATCTACCGTATTTGAGAATATTGTAATTGCCAAAGGGTAAGCGTTGCCATGC